CCCCCTGTCGGCGGTTTAGCGAGATCCTGAAACAGGCGGCATACGTGGATCGGGCGGTTTACGAAGCCACGTATCAGGCGGTATACCTCTACCAGGTGATTTACCCAGACCCAGTTTCAGGCGGATTAGCGAGACCTTGTATCAGGCGTATAGGGCAACTTTATTATCCCTATTAGTGGTGTGACGATTCATCGATACGCATCGATGCATCGACCCATGGGCCGCCGATACAGTGGATCGATACAAAGTTTTACATTGTCAAATATCCCGATACGATACTTCAAAAGGGCCACGATACATCGATTTTTAACTTTGAATATTGCCGAATCGCGATATCTGTCAAGAAAAATAATTTATTTTTGTTTGATGATTAAAATATATGCTTACTTATTTTCCCTTCATAAGTAAACGTTTTCTTGGAAATTCTTGCGTCAGGAACTGTGTCAGACATAGCGCTCGCTTATTATCAACATTCACAAAGTCCGTGTCTAAACTTAAAGGTCACATGCAACGTAAAACACGACTTTGCAGATTCTGATACCTTTCGGTATGGACTTACCGAAACAAATCATCAAAAATGCAAATTCAACTTATAAAGTTGAAAAATAACGCGATGAAAAAACCGCGCGAAATCGGAGTTCAAACGATTCACTAATTTTCCCCCAGCGCTTGGGGGTATGAAGTGGTTGCAACAGCTGGGCTGCGCTCATAGCACATGCGCAGTGAAATAGGTTCGCAGCTTGGAAGCGGGTTATCCGGTGAATACTCGGTGAAGGCTTTGATGTGAGCTATTTTTCTAATGTTTTGTTGATATTTCACAGGCGCGAGCTTTTTATATCTTATGACAGTAGATTACCGATTTAACTGTTTATATAATAATAATTTCATTTGTCTATTTCACCACACGTTCTTCTTATCGAGTTACTTTCTCAGTTCGATACTTAAAAGCAATGTCATTATTTAGCATTGACAGAATTTCTAACTGTGATATAGATATGTCGTTGTCACAGACAAAACTCAGTGTCTGTTTTATTGACACCTATGTGTCTGCCTGCCCGTCTGCTAATGACAATATTCAATACACAACTTCGATCACTGACCACATGCAATTTGAACTTAACACCTATCCGGCTATACACCATAAACAAAACGCATTGATTTATGGCCCGAGTTCGGTCTCTGTCACGTTATGTAATTACACAGACAGGCAGGTGTGGTGTGATACTTGTACACATTACATGTTATGATGTCTGTTGATTGCAAAATGTTATACACAAAAAATGAGCATGTATTTACAAAACCCAACATCTCTAAATATACACACATAATGAGCCGTGAGAGCATCGGCAAATGAACCAGCCGTTACACTTGAGTGCACACCCACCCGCTCTTACTGGGTTCGTTTCTAGGGAAGTAAACCCAAGTAGAAAATACTGCACTTTTGATTTGCGATTGTACACTCATAATTTCGTTTATATGTTTTTTCATAATCAGCAATGTATACTTTATGTCATGAATAAGTGATAATTGGGTTTTAATTATGTTTGATTGTTTGGTTGCATGTGACCTTTAATTATCTCGTTTCCGAATAAGCATTGAAAAACGCTGGCGGAATTTGACGAAACACTTTAAAATGGTTTTGCTTTGATCTTAAGGTGTTTTATAGTTGATGTTAGAATGAATGATTTTAGTATCGTGATACGTATCGTATCGCCACTCTTATATCGGGATTCGTATCGTATCGAGCTTCAGTGAACAATACTTTGGCAATGTATCGCCGTGACTAAAATCTTAGCATCGTGATGTATCGTTTTGCAGGTTTTATGCCAATACCAGCACTAATCCCTATCCGATATCGTGCCAGCTTTTACGTAAGTCGGTATATTCAGGCTAAGGTTAACCATGAAGAGATATTGTGTAACAAAGCTTCAATAAATGGGATTATGTGGAGCCAACTTCCCGTATTACTTGATATGTTTAGTCTTAGCACTCGTGAAGGTCCGGGTTAGAATATTGGTCTACAGTAACCCATGCTTGTCGTAAGAGGCGACTAACGGGATCGGGTGGTCAGACTTGCTGACTTGGTTGACACATCTGTTCCCTATCTGTTGGTCATCTGTTCCCAATTGCGCAGATCGATGTTCATGCTGTTGATCACTGGATTGCCTGGTCCTGACTCGATACGTATAAGGCTGCAGACGGAGCACCAGCTTCATTATAAGGCTGTAGGCGGAGCATCAGCTTCAGTATAAGGCTGCAGACAGACAACCAGCTTCAGTATAAGGCTGCAGACGGAGCATCAGCTTCAGTATAAGGCTGCAGACGGAGCATCAGCTTCAGTATGAGGCTGTAGACGGAGCATCAGCTTCAGTATGAGGCTGTAGACGGAGCATCAGCTTCAGTATGAGGCTGCAGGCGGAGCATCAGCTTCAGTATGAGGCTGTAGACGGAGCATCAGCTTCAGTATAAGGCTGTAGACGGAGCATCAGCTTCAGTATGAGGCTGTAGACGGAGCATCAGTTTCAGTATAAGGCTGCAGACGGAGCATCAGCTTCAGTATAAGGCTGTAGACGGAGCATCAGCTTCAGTATGAGGCTGCAGACGGAGCATCAGTTTCAGTATGAGGCTGTAGACGGAGCATCAGCTTCAGTATAAGGCTGCAGACGGAGCATCAGTTTCAGTATGAGGCTGTAGACGGAGCATCAGTTTCAGTATGAGGCTGTAGACGGAGCATCAGCTTCAGTATGAGGCTGCAGGCGGAGCATCAGCTTCAGTATGAGGCTGTAGACGGAGCATCAGCTTCAGTATGAGGCGGTAGACGGAGCATCAGCTTCAGTATGAGGCTGTAGGCGGAGCATCAGCTTCAGTATGAGGCTGCAGGCGGAGCATCAGCTTCAGTATGAGGCGGTAGACGGAGCATCAGCTTCAGTATGAGGCTGTAGACGGAGCATCAGCTTCAGTATGAGGCTGTAGACGGAGCATCAGCTTCAGTATGAGGCTGCAGACGGAGCATCAGCTTCAGTATGAGGCTGTAGGCGGAGCATCAGCTTCAGTATGAGGCTGCAGGCGGAGCATCAGCTTCAGTATGAGGCGGTAGACGGAGCATCAGCTTCAGTATGAGGCTGTAGACGGAGCATCAGCTTCAGTATGAGGCTGTAGACGGAGCATCAGCTTCAGTATGAGGCTGCAGACGGAGCATCAGCTTCAGTATGAGGCTGTAGGCGGAGCATCAGCTTCAGTGTGAGGCTGGAGACGGAGCATCAGCTTCAGTGTGAGGCTGCAGACGGAGCATCAGCTTCAGTATAAGGCTGCAGGCGGAGCATCAGCTTCAGTGTGAGGCTGTAGACGGAGCATCAGCTTCAGTATGAGGCTGCAGACGGAGCATCAGCTTCAGTATAAGGCTGTAGACGGAGCATCAGCTTCAGTATGAGGCTGTAGACGGAGCATCAGCTTCAGTATGAGGCTGTAGACGGAGCATCAGCTTCAGTATGAGGCGGTAGACGGAGCATCAGCTTCAGTATGAGGCTGTAGACGGAGCATCAGCTTCAGTATGAGGCGGTAGACGGAGCATCAGCTTCAGTATGAGGCTGTAGACGGAGCATCAGCTTCAGTATGAGGCTGTAGACGGAGCATCAGCTTCAGCATCAGGCTGCAGGCGGAGCATCAGCTTCAGTATGAGGCTGTAGACGGAGCATCAGCTTCAGCATGAGGCTGTAGACGGAGCATCAGCTTCAGTATGAGGCTGCAGGCAGTGCATCAGCTTCAGAATGAGGCTGCAGGCGGATAATCAGCTTCAGTATTAGGCTGTAGGCGGAGCATCAGCTTCAGTATGAGGCTGTAGACGGAGCATCAGCTTTAGTATGAGGCTGCAGACAGACAACCAGCTTCAGTATAAGGCTGTAGACGGAGCATCAGCTTCAGTATAAGGCTGTAGACGGAGCATCAGCTTCAGTATGAGGCTGTAGACGGAGCTTCAGTATGAGGCTGTAGACGGAGCATCAGCTTCAGCATGAGGCTGTAGACGGAGCATCAGCTTCAGCATCAGGCTGTAGATCGAGCACCAGCTTCAGTATAAGGCTGTAGATGGAGCATCAGCTTCAGTATAAGGCTGTAGAGGGAGCACCAGCTTCAGTATGAGGCTGTAGACACAGCACCAGCTTCAGTATAAGGCTGTAGACGGAGCATATACGAAGCATATACAGCTGAGTCACAGAGAGAATATATAAAGTAAATGACAAAAGTATTCACCAAACAATTTATTGACATATAAAATAGGTTCAAATGATGTCTTGGTTTGGACACAAGTAGTAAGGCAGACGAGGTGCCCGTTGTTGCTTGTTGCTATACAAGTCAAGCTGGATACAATGGGCCGTCACCACCCAGCATACACTGCCACAAGCACTGACATACACACTCGTTGAGCAAGACGTGAGCAAAATAACGCGTCGGGAGTTCGGACGCTTACCCGTATTTAAAGCATCCGACATCAGGCTGGAAATGGTACATCTGTTCCACTACTGTATAATTTCAATATAGATGGTATATACAAAATAAAAACATTCTTTATGCACCAAAACATAAGATATTCAATATGCACTAACAGTGATGTTAAACAGAACATACATGACCGTCATTCACCGACAAACAGTCTGGAGCTATCTATCATAGTCCGCTGACAGCCATGAATGTGGAACTATATCGCTGATGTCGATGTAGCACGAAGCAGCATGTTGTAACCATATTTTTGTTGTGAATAGTTTCTATACAATACATACAAGACACCAGCGTTGTGACCACAGCGGGATCCGGCACCTCTTGGTACCTATCTCTTGCAGAAGCGACATTGTGTGGCAATCACGTCAACATGATCAGCACCGACCGGCTGGTACTAAACTGGTTTTGGGAAACCGATGCCTGACTGTAGTAGATGCGCAACATTTTCATATTCCTCTCATCGCTGGATTTCAAACACACGAAAACAACTGACACACAACCTCACGTGACTGACAAGATATGTTATACAGATGATTGTTCAACTTCCCGATCACCGATAACTGTCCCGGTGTAACAGTAACATCTGGACTGGTTGCAGTTGTACACAGTAGGAGCCTCGTTGTGGTATCGTGGTCTCGACGTCGAATACGGAATTACTTTCTCTATGACGTCGAAAAGATGTCACAGACACACTCAGTGTCTGAGCGACCTCAAGACACACATGAGTGTAGTAGCCATGGCGCATGTCCGGATGTTGACCCCATTGATGGACGGAGCCCGGTTCGCTGATGGGGAGGTGGCGCCCGCTGTCGAGGGAAGACTTGGGGTACTTGATGTGTAGAGCGGCGGGTAAGTACCTGAAACAAACATGGAAATTCTCACTTCCAGCTCCAACATACATAGTGCATGACGACGCACAACAGCTCTGGATGACAGGATGAGGTTGTAGAAATGTCCGGCAAGACCTTCAGTGTTTAGGATGTCCACCCAGTTCACCAACTACATATAACTTTCTTAAGAAGTGTAATCAGAACTATAACAGATGTTACATATCACTGCCTAATGGCCTCCGTGAACCACACAGATCACAGCTGGGTCTAAGATGACATTTCACACTCGGCGTTTCTTAGAGGAGTACAATGGACTCTGAACCGACATCCCTCTAAACCGACATTCCATGTAAACCAACATATTTATTTGGTCCCGAATTTGTCCCTATATAATATTATATAAGAAATTCCCTCTAATCCGACATCCGTCCATTCCGAATTCCGACACTCAAATAGTAGGGGAAGGGGGGTGTAGGCATATAAAGAGAGGCGTGTTTGATAGCAGGGGAAGAGCTTGAAGGCACAGAGAGAGAGGCGTGTTCGATAGCAGGGGAAGGGCTTGAAGGCACAGAGAGAAAGGCGTGTTTGATAGCAGGGGAAGGGTTTGTAGGCATATAAAGAGAGACTTGTTTGCTAGCAGGAGAAGGGGGTTGTAGGCATATAAAGAGAGGCGTGTTTGATAGCAGGGGAAGGGCTTGAAGGCACAGAGAGAGAGGCGTGTTTGATAGCAGGGGAAGGGCTTGAAGGCACAGAGAGAGAGGCGTGTTTGATAGCAGGGGAAGGGTTTGTAGGCATATAATGAGAGACGTGTTTGAGAGCAGGGGAAGGGGGTTGTAGGCATATAAAGAGAGATTTGTTTGAGAGCAGGGGAAGGGGGTTGTAGGCATATAACGAGAGACGCGTTTGAAAGGAAAGAAACACGATTCCCGATACTTACGATCCCCTGGGTTGTTGACACGTGTTCCCTGGTTGGCGTGCTGGCACTCACTGGGGTCTCCGCGCCTGGAACAATGTAGGGCTAATAACGTGTGTGTCCACCTTGCTGTCATCATCACTCCTTCATTCCTTACCCTGTCAGGTTATACACTTCACTACCCTGCTAACCGAGTCTACCCGTGAAGATCCGGGTTGGGATTGGTCTTCAGTAACCCATGCTTGTCGTAAGAGTCGACAAACGGATCGGGTGGTCAGGGTCGCTGAATTGGTTCACACAAGTCATTGGTTCCCAATTATGCAGATTGATGCTCATGCTGTTGATCACTGGATTGTCTAGTTCAGACTCGATTATTTACAGACCGCAGCCATATAGCTGGCCTATTGCTGAGTGCCGCGTTCAACGCCAACCAACCCAAACCAACTCCTTACCGAGTCAGGTTTAACACCTCACAAACCTGCTAACCGTGTTGGATCTACCAGATTGTACACTTGTGCTTACCATGTCACATCCACCAGCTTGTACACTTGTGCTTACCGTGTCACTTCTACCAGCTTGTACACCTGTGCTTACTGTGTCGGATCTACCAGCTTGTACACTTGTGCTTACCGTGTCACTTCTACCAGCTTGTACACTTGTGCTTACCGTGTCGGATGTACCAGCTTGTACACTTGTGCTTACCGTGTTGGATTTACCAGCTTGTACACTTGTGCTTACCGTGTCAAATCCACCAGCTTGTACACCTGTGCTTACTGTGTCGGATCTACCAGCTTGTACACTTGTGCTTGCCATGTTGGATCTACCAGCTTGTACACTTGTGCTTACTGTGTCGGATCTACCAGCTTGTACACTTGTGCTTTCAGTGTCGGATCTACCAGCTTGTACACTTGTGCTTACCGTGTTGGATCTACCAGCTTGTACACTTGTGCTTACCGTGTTGGATCTACCAGCTTGTACACTTGTGCTTACCGTGTCGGATCTACCAGCTTGTACACTTGTGCTTACAGTGTCGGATCTACCAGCTTGTACACTTGTGCTTACCGTGTCACTTCTACCAGCTTGTACACTTGTGCTTACCGTGTTGGATCTACCAGCTTGTACACTTGTGCTTACCATGTCGAATCCACCAGCTTGTACACTTGTGCTTACCGTGTCGGATCTACCAGCTTGTACACTTGTGCTTACCATGTCGGATCTACCAGCTTGTACACTTGTGCTTACTGTGTTGGATCCACCAGCTTGTACACTTGTGTGTTGGATCCACCAGCTTGTACACTCGTGCTTGCCGTGTCGGATGTACCAGCTTGTACACTTGTGCTTACTGTGTTGGATCTACCAGCTTGTACACTTGTGCTTACCGTGTCGGATCTACCAGCTTGTACACTTGTGCTTACTGTGTTGGATCTACCAGCTTGTACACTTGTGCTTGCCGTGTTGGATCTACCAGCTTGTACACTTGTGCTTACTGTGTTGGATCTACCAACTTGTACACTTGTGCTTACCGTGTGGGATCTACCAGCTTGTACACTTGTGCTTACTGTGAGGTGAAATTGGGTTTTACGTCGTGCTTGAGAATATTTCGCTCATATGACGATATGCATGCGTGTGTATGTGTATGTGCGGCTGCTTGTACTCGCCCAGACTTAAGCTGGTTTTATAGTGCTAGCCCACTGAGATACCATGCCGCAGTGAAGCATGAATACCCCACTCAGACACAGTATACTGACTCCGAGCCAACCAGTCCTTGTTGTACCCATTAATGCCGAGCGCCAGGCAGGGTCCAACAAGTACCATATTTTAACGTCATTTGATTTGACGCGGTCGGGGATCGAACCCGCGACCTTCCGCTCTCCGGGCGGACGCTCTAACCACTACACCACGGAGGCAGTCTTACCGTGTTGGATCTACCAGCTTGTACACTTGTGCTTGCCGTGTTGGATCTACCAGCTTGTACACTTGTGCTTACAGTGTCGGATCTACCAGCTTGTACACTTGTGCTAACCGTGTCACATCTACCAGCTTGTACACTTGTGCTTACCGTATCGGATCTACCAGCTTGTACACTTTACCACCCGTTCCAGCCGCAGACTCAGTTCCAGTCGAGAGTAAATATATTTCTCCTGAAATAGAAACATGTGGATATTTATGACACTTCACAGTTGGAGTTGAATGTTTATATTTCTGACCAATCAGAAACGTTCTCACCTTCTTCATCCTCACCAAAGGAAATGACGTAACGTTCGTAGTGACCAATCAAACCGTTGAGACAGATGTCAGGCTCGCACATGAATATCTCTTTGTTGTGCCATTCGCCGGATACGTTCTTCGTCAAGGCGAACATCTGCCTGAGAAAACAAATAACGCCGTCACATTTTGGGCAGGTAATTCTCGTCCATGCTATCTGTCACCTACAACTTATTACTTGCATTACCAACTGTCTTCACTGGTGAGATCCAAAACCATTCACATTTCCTCCAGAATCCCTATTATTTGTCTAAAAATACAAATGGTTATCTAACTACCCCGCAATTCAATACCCAGCTATCCTCCACACTACAATCTATGCTGAAACCCAGTACACTCTGAATAAAGTTGCCATAAAAAGATCCCCGATAGAAGACCGTTAGAAGAGCGCTAGCGCTGTATCATCGCCTTTAGTCCATATTGATGTGCGACCAGCATAGGAGGTAAGGGTATTATGGAGGAGGACATCACATACCCGAACATGTAGTCGGCGTAGAAGTACATGCCGTTCAGGTTGGGGCTCTCACATCCCCGGTAGAAGACCCCACCCGTCACAGACTTTCCCACCCGGTGGGGGTAGGCAAATACCGGCAACTCTTCTGGACCTGAAAGATAGGACATCAATTGGTGTCATGGCCTTAACGCAGCTCGGTATACATCTCATACAGATTCCAACCCCACGAGTTACTTCCAGTCGGAAGTCTATGAAGCCCCGAGGCACAGGAGCTGTAGCCTCTGCCAGCATGCTCACACATCAACCGTCATCACGCCGCCGTTACCTGCATGGCAGCTGGTGCGGCAGTCACGCACACACTTCAACAAATGCTGTTAACAAATTACATTCTGAGTCAGCTTTTGGTATGAATATACAATGCCTTATATTTGGGATTACACTTTCTCAATAATGCACAGATTCTCGTGCCACTAGATTAGAACCGACTCTCGGTTGGTTTTACCTATGTTTCCGCATGTGTTTTCATCAAAACACTGGAATCCTTCTCTCGAATTCCAACCGTAGTTAGCTCCCTTTTTCACCAGGTCTATTTCCTCCCACGCTGATTGGCCCACATCACCGCACAATATCCGACCTCTGCCTTCTCCTGAAAAGGGAAGGGCAGCATGAACTGTGTGTATTATGGTCTGGTCGAGGAGGGGCTATATGAAGTGTGTGTGTCGCGCTGGAAGGGGAGGGGTTACATGCAGTGTGTGTGGTTATGTCAGCAATCGTGTTGGGAATACACACCTTGTGTGTATTTGTGTCAGTAAGGGGAGGGGCTATGTTGAGTGTGTGTATTTGTGTCAGTAAGGGGAGGGGCTATGTTGAGTGTGTGTATTTACGTCAGTAAAAGGAGGGGCTACATTACGTGTGTGTATTTACGTCAATAATAGGGGCTATATTAATAGTGTATATTTACCTCAATAAGGGGAGGGGCTATATTAAGTGTGTGTATTTATGTCAGTAAGGGGAGGGGCTATATTAAGTGTGTGTATTTACGTCAGTAAGGGGAGGGGCTATATTCGTTGGTTTCACATTAACTTTAGACTCGCTGTGCGCATGCGCAGAGCGTGTAAAAATATCCTCAGGCCAACTTCCGGTTTGGTCGTAAGCTTTACCGATAGTGTAAACGCACCCTAAAGAAAGCAAAAATCAAAACAAATATATGGTTTTATGTCGAATGTAACTAATCTCAATTCATTTATGAATGGAAGGGACCGGAATCAGTTAAATAAATAGCTTAACGTTTGTTAACAAGCTCTTGTATAAACACATCTCACCACCACCCGTCCACCGTCCTTCCTGCACATCCCCTTCTCACAAGTAAAAAAACACATCTCTGATGCAATGCCACCAAATTAGGACATCAATTATTGAAAAGCATAGGCAAATGGATGTATGTACTCAACTATGAACAGTTGTCACGCGTAAATAATATTCATTCAGCATTTATTTAGAGTGTGTTTACAATATCGCTAATACGACCAAACCGGAAGTTGACCAGTGGATATTTTTACACGCTCTACGCATGCGTACAGTGAGTCGAAAATTAATGTGAAACCAACGAATTACTTGTGTGTATTTACCTCAATAAGGGGAGGGGCTATATTACTTGTGTGTATTTATGTCAGTAAGGGGAGGGGCTATATTACTTGTGTGTATTTATGTCAGTAAGGGGAGGGGCTATATTACTTGTGTGTATTTATGTCAGTAAGGGGAGGGTCTATATTACTTGTGTGTATTTATGTCAGTAAGGGGAGGGGCTATGTTAATTGTGTGAAGTCAGGTCAGCAAGGGGGGGAAGTCTGTAAGGGAGGGGCCACAGTAAAGGTGTGTATTTGGACCAGCAAGGGGAGGTTTACATTAGAAGTGTGTATATGGGTCAGCAATGGGAGGCACGTACGTGTATTTAGGTCAGCAAGGGGTGAGGGCTATATTAGGTCGTGTATTTAGGTCAGCAAGGGGCGAGGGCTATATATATCGAATACCCTACCAGTTTGTCGGTCGCCCCGATCCTTGCCGCATCTCCAGATGTTCCGTACGCCGTAAGCGTAGATCTCAGGGAGGGTGTGCTGCTCGTTGATGAAGGGGTTGTCGGGAGGAATGGAGTAGGGCATGCTGGGGTTAGGAGTGTCCACATCTAGACGTAGTATCTTCCCCAGGTGGACCGATCTGTACAATAGGAACTCGTATAACAATCCACTGATTCATATTATATTATATACATGCTTGAAGGGTTTGTCAGTAACATTCCGGCAAAGATTAACCAAGTCGGGGGCTTCCGGGTACTCAGGTGACTGTGTCACGTGTAAACTGTATGCACTCTTGATCATACACATGCGAGTCTGTTAAACTCAACTCAGGAGATTCCGTTCATCTGGTGGTGGTGTGCGGTCTTAAGCATAGAGCCAAGATCACCAATCGGTTTAAGTTAAGCAACGAGTCCTTGGATGGATGACCATGTTTGACTCCTGAGAGAGTCTAGGACTCGCGTCCTGCCCCACAATGACGCACACATGACACAGTTGTCTCCCTTTGTTAGTTTGTTCAAGATTGCCTCTTTTCACCCATTAGAAAATGGGTACCCGGTGGGATAAGTCGTATGACTATTGATCTTCTAGCGCCCCGCAGGCTGAATGCCCCGGGGGTTCGGACACCTGTAAAGCCTGACACACTGGTTCACCGTGACATTCAGAAGGGTGCCGTCACATAACTGAACTGGTGCTGACTGTGACGTCACACACTCCTTGTTCCACACAATTTTTATCTCAAATTAATCATCAAGAACAAAATTTCTCTACAATGTTGTCACGATTGTGATGACAAGTTAATGTACATGATGTAGATGGTGCCGTTGAAGCAGATGTTGCACACGTTGGCAGGTGGCAACATGACACATTATCTGAATTCCACAAACAATGCAAATACAGGGGGCTGGACATTTAAACATGGAAACTACGGCAGTGCAACAGTTGTACTGATCATCACTCGGCCAACTGCTGCAATACGTTCAGATACAATCGCTACATTGATGAAGCTAGCTGGTGTATTCAGTATGACGGTTTACTGTTTTGTCTCATTGTGTGTGTCACATGTGTGGTGTTGTACGTCGCCTTCAGCAATATTCCAGCGACATCATGGCAGGGACACGTGACAGGGACAGGGAGACTAGCCAGAGCTTGGTCGCAGAATATTCGTGAAACATTTTCCGGGAAATAATCTATGTATTTTCTATTTATCATTACAAATAATGGGGTTTTATACTCGTGGGGCTTTCATCCAGTTGGGATCATGACAGAGTGGCCTATGGGGCTTGTATCCACATCTGCATCAGACTGGCTCCCGTCCTATAAAAAAGTCTGTTTGCAGTGAAAACGTACCGATGTACTCTAAACAAAAAGGTAAATCGATTAAAGAGAAATAAAGATTGCGAATCCTCATAATTTTACCTTGCCAAATGAACATTCAAATCTCAGAATGTTATTCAACTTAGGATAACTGTTGTTTAACAAACGATCATAGTTTCAAATCACTATTATTGGTTCGTATTACAAGGGGGTATGCACATGAGATGAAACACCGAGAACAAGTAGGGCTGGTCTAAGTTAACGCTCATCACGTACCGCATGTGCATTTGTTTCACTGTTCCATCTACTGCGCTTACCCCCTTGTAATACAAACCAATAATAGCGATTTGAATCTATGATCGTTTGTTAAACAACTGTTATCCTAAGTTGAATTAAATTTTTAGATTTAAATGTTTATTTGGCAAGGTAAAATTATGAGGATTCGCAATCTTAAGTTCACTTAATTTGATTTACTTTTTTGTTTCAAGTGACATTCATCGGTATGTTTTCACTGCAAACAGACTATAGTTCCCTAATGGCCAATCCAGTAAGTTGCAGAGTACACAGATATAAGGAACGAACACGGAACATTGGGCGCGATCTGAGAATAATCTGAATAAAATCATTTTCTGGTCTTGATGAGTCTGGCGATGTGGTGTTCACTCACTCACTCACAATCTCATCACACCAGAGATCTACAGTGGCGCAGTTTACCCGATCCTACACACAGTGAGTGACACACGTATGGATGAATGAATGTGAAGTGACAGGTGAAAACACGTATGGATGAATGAATGTGAAGCGTGAGGTGAACATACGTATGGACGAATGAATGTGAAGTGTGAGGTGAACACGCGTATGTATGAATGAATGTGAAGGGACAGGTGAACACACGTATGGATGAATGAATGTGAAGTGAGAGGTGAACACACGTATGTATGAATGAATGTGAAGTGAGAGGTGAACACACGTATGGATGAATGAATGTGAAGTGAGAGGTGAACACGCGTATGGATGAATGAATGTGAAGCGAGAGGTGAACACACGTATGGATGAATGAATGTGAAGTGAGAGGTGAACACACGTATGGATGAATGAATGTGAAGTGAGAGGTGAACACACGTATGGATGAATGAATGTGGAGCGAGAGGTGAACACGCGTATGGATGAATGAATGTGAAGTGAGAGGTGAACACACGTATGGATGAATGAATGTGGAGCGAGAGGTGAACACGCGTATGTATGAATGAATGTGAAGGGACAGGTGAACACACGTATGGATGAATGAATGTGAAGTGAGAGGTGAACACACGTATGTATGAATGAATGTGAAGTGAGAGGTGAACACACGTATGGATGAATGAATGTGAAGTGAGAGGTGAACACGCGTATGGATGAATGAATGTGAAGCGAGAGGTGAACACACGTATGGATGAATGAATGTGAAGTGAGAGGTGAACACACGTATGGATGAATGAATGTGAAGTGAGAGGTGAACACACGTATGGATGAATGAATGTGGAGCGAGAGGTGAACACGCGTATGGATGAATGAATGTGAAGTGAGAGGTGAACACACGTATGGATGAATGAATGTGGAGCGAGAGGTGAACACGCGTATGGATGAATGAATGTGAAGTGAGAGGTGAACACACGTATGGATGAATGAATGTGAAGTGAGAGGTGAACACACGTATGGATGAATGAATGTGAAATGAGAGGTGAGCACACGTATAGATGAATGAATGTGAAGGGAGAAGTGAACACTCGTATGGATGAATGAATGTGAAGTGAGAGGTGAGCACACGTATAGATGAATGAATGTGAAGCGTGAGGTGAACATACGTACGGATGAATGAATGTGAAGTGTGAGGTGAACACGCGTATGAATGAATGAAACACGTATGGATGAATGAATGTGAAGTGAGAGGTGAACACGCGTATGGATGAATGAATGTGAAGCGAGAGGTGAACACACGTATGGATGAATATGGATGAGAGGTGAATGAATGTGAAGTGAGAGGTGAACACGCGTATGGATGAATGAATGTGAAGTGAGAGGTGAACACGCGTATGGATGAATGAATGTGAAGTGAGAGGTGAACACACGTATGGATGAATGAATGTGAAGTGAGAGGTGAACATGCGCATGGATGAATGAATGTGAAGTGAGAGGTGAACATGCGCATGGATGAATGAATGTGGAGCGTGAGGTGAACACACGTATGGATGAATGAATGTGAAGTGAGAGGTGAACACGCGTATGGATGAATGAATGTGGAGCGTGAGGTGAACACACGTATGGATGAATGAATGAATGTGAAGTGATAGGTCAACACACGTATGGATGAATGAATGTGAAGTGAGAGGTGAACACGTGTACTGATGAATGAATGAATGTGAAGTGAGAGGTGAACACTCGTATGGCTGAATGACTGTAGTAACAGACTAGCTGGTGAGTATAGTTACTTGTTCTGGGCGAAGCCGTGAGGGTCTGCCGCTGCCCCTCCGTCGCCAACAAACAGATATAGATAGCGGTCATCTCCGAACAGCAACTGCAGAATACAAGGGGAGGCGTGGTATGACAAGGGGAGGCGTGGTATGACGCTAAATAAAACTTATCCCAAAGCAGCCAAGTACAAATGTGAATTGAGGCAGTCTACACTTGCTCAATCATTCTAGACTTGAGTTAGACGCTTTTTATTGTTCATTTCTTACGACGAGACTATAGTTTAGTCAGCTACATGACGCCATGGTATACACTGCTATTAGTGGTATACTGTATACACTTCCTCTCCATGTTACAGGGCGCCATGGTATACACCTCCTGGTCTCACTACAGTTATATCGACACTTACCTCGCCTCTTGGGCTCACCACGGTTATATCGACACTTACCTCGCCTCTTGGGCTCACTACGGTTATATCGACACTTACCTCGCCTCCTGGGCTCACTACGGTTATATCGACACTTACCTCGCCTCCTGGTCTCACTACGGTTATATCGACACTTACCTCGTCTCCTGGTCTCACTACGGTTATATCGACACTTACCTCGCCTCCTGGACTCACTACGGTTAAATCGACACTTACCTCGCCTCCTGGGCTCACTACGGTTATATCGACACTTACCTCGCCTCCTGGGCTCACTACGGTTATATCGACACTTACCTCGCCTCCGTTGTGGTTCCAGTAAGGCTCCATGACCTCCAACAGAATTCTCTCGGTGTCAAGGTCAGCTCTGTTCGGGTCGTCCTGTGACACGTGGATCTCACTGATGCGGATCTTATGGTCAATAGGAATATCTCCGCCGTAGAAGTTCAAGTCGTCATGGTCCTGAAGATGTGTCGAGTAGTACACGAAAAATCTGCCGTTATCAGCGAAGTTCGGATGGAAGGCAATTGAAAAGAATCCTCGTTCATCTCCTCGCCGAGCACTGACCTTGACCTTGTTGGTGATATCAAGGAATGGAGTTGGAAGTCCTGTCTTGTTTCGGGGAAAGTAGATATGAACGAATCCAAGCTGCTCACCAACAAACAGCCTTCCAGATCCGTCCCCGGCATGTCGTGCGACAATGGGGTTCCTCATGCCATGGAGGTGTTCCTCCAGACACAGACAGCCCTCCGTGTTGATCTGGGTGTTGTTGATCTGGTCAGTGAAGAGAGGGTTGGTCAAGAGGTCCGGGTAACAGTAGTCCACGTCAGACGGTATGGCCACGGCCTGGCAGAATCCCTGTCTGGAACTGAAGGACGGCAGACTTGCAAGTTCTGAGTCTATATATTGCACAACGTCTTTACACGTGTCGTAGAAGGTGTTGCAGTAAGGTCGACACAGACCTGGAAACTTCCGGGGATTCTGGGTAGCCTCGGCGTCGTAAATATGGGCAGCATATGGGGAGCAGTATTGACACAACAACTCGTCCACGTAGTGTCCACACGTGCTCCATCGGTCACCCAGCCGCCTCTGTATGTCGTCCCGGCGCTGTCGCAAGGCGTCATGGTCCGCCTCCGTACAACATCCGAAGTCAGTGTACTGGGGACAAAAGTTGTTGTTGCCCCCGGCCATGAAGGGGGGTCGATAGTCCAGGCACTGGGGGTGAGGCGACACGGTGATGACACAAGTGATCAAGAGGACTAGTAGAGGTACTGTGTCGCCCATCTCGGCCATGTTGGTGAAGTGAGATATGGAGTGTCGGGTAACACCACGTGCGTCTCTGTGCAAGTCTGCGGCTTCCACTGGAACACATCAGATGGGGAATCGGTCAAACAGACATGGCATTTTTTAGATTGATCTACTCTACATCATGTTCTTTCTACTAACCCACACCCCCACAGGCAAAAAATACCTCTTGTCACAGTTCCAAGGAGGATTAGGAAAATATTATCCAACAGCTGATGTTCGAAGGTTCATCAAGTACATTCATCGCTCGTGTGTCTATATATAGATAGGTGTAACAGTAAATTCACATCACTGTGTAACGACTGCTAACTGGGTGGCAATAGAACACGAGACCTGTGTGAGTCTTGTAGCATTTCTGGCCACCGATTCTAGGAAGCTGAGGCAGAATTAACACCCCTGGTACCCGTGAAACTGAAAATATATAATAATAAAGTACAATAATCTGAGCTTCTGCGAAATGAATTTCATGCACATCCGAGCCTGAACAGTAGTCTATCTGCCAGACCGTAGACAGTTTCTGTAGCTCTGTATTTTCTAAGGACTTACTATCAGTCTAGGGCGTGTCACAAAATGAAATTGAACGATACAAACTAGATAATACCACCGCTCTCCGCGAAGTGTCGTGTCGGGAAGACAAACAACATAAGATTAGTTTCTTAAAACGATGTTTCCACCGAACCAGGCGACCTGCTGGTTTCATCTTCCCGGAGCCACGCAGGATTTGGTATTTGGATCAGCCCACTTCGCGTCTGGGGGACTCCATAGCTAGAAATCAATAGCAGGTGCACCCTGCTCCCCATACCACGGACCTCACCCTCAATATACATAAACTTCCAACCTCGCATGTCATCCAGTAATGTGCAAATATATAGAGAATCTCACCCTAGTGTCTTTTGGAATCAAATATATCACCACGAGTTGATAAAGGAACAAATATCCGAGGCTTGCCGAGGATATTCTTACTTCTATCATCGAGTCTTGATATATTGGATGTCAGAAGACACGAGGGTGAGATTCTATTTATCATCAAAAATCACTCTTCATTATTTATTTTGTCAATGAAAACTGTACATCTCTGAACACAGTACTGCCATTGGACTTGTAGTGCATCGATGTCATACCATTGTGACGTCATCAAGTTCATGACGTCATAGCATTGTGCAAAATCTACTGTTAAAATATCTCCTAGGAGATATCGTCTGATCTCACACAAGCAATATCTCCCGTGGAACACAGTTTTGGATGATAAATACCAATAACCAAACTCTTGTCCTGCGTGTGGGAACTTGATCCGACCTTGATATGAAGAAGACTGACGGTCAAGCAGTTTACGGTCAGCGTTATACTGACCAGGGATACGGTCAGCGTTATACTGACCAGGGATACGGTCAGCGTTATGCTGACCAGGGATACGCTCAGCGTTATACTGACCAGGGAAGCTGCTAGGCTTGCAGTCTCCCTCCCGTGTCTTGACTCTGACTGACGGTCAAGCAGTTTACGGTCAGCGTTATACTGACCAGGGATACGGTCAGCGTTATACTGACCAGGGATACGGTCAGCGTTATACTGACCAGGGAAGCTGCTAGGCTTGCAGTCTCCCTCCCGTGTCTTGACTCTGACTGACGGTCAAGCAGTTTACGGTCAGCGTTATACTGACCAGGGATACGCTCAGCGTTATACTGACCAGGGATACGCTCAGCGTTATACTGACCAGGGAAGCTGCTAGGCTTGCAGTCTCCCTCCCGTGTCTTGACGGACTAACGGTCAAGCAGTTTACGGTCAGCGTTATACTGACCAGGGATACGGTCAACGTTATACTGACCAGGGAAGCTGCTAGACTTGCAGTCTCCCTGCAATATCTTGACTCTGGCTGACGGTCAAGCAGTTTACGGTCAGCGTTATACTGACCACGGAAGCTGCTAGGCTTGCAGTCTCCCTCCAATGTCTTGACACTGACATTATGTCGTCAGTGGGAATGATGATGTGTTGTGTCATCTTGTCCCCGCGGCCGCACGAACAATACACATGACTGCACACACGGGTTTGATGGAGGTGTCAATCTCACAGCCTGTATGTAACTGTCAGTGACTGTTAGATTTGCATCTAAACATACCGAAGGTAATGAAAACTTAAGGAACATCTTAATTTCGTTTGCATTATACACACACACACACACACACACACACCTGACATACACACACCTGGCATACACCTACATATGTACAGAATAATATGTTGTGTCAGCAGAAAAGTTTAGAATGCAACTTTCAGGGAGGCTAACATTGTTGACAGCATGCCCGCCTCATGCCCGCCTCATATCCGTCGATTGCTCCGAGATTTTCGTAATTGACCAAACGTTTTCACGCAATAGCGACACGCACACGTCTCAGACACGCACATATGTTAGGATTTGGAGGTTTTTTCGCCGGAAAATCCCCAGAAGAGAAGTGTTTTTTTGAATGGCGATTTTAACCAAATATTTCAGTGTGTCGGTTGTCATTTTTCCTTCGATGGTTGTTTAACCTCGCATTCCAATACTCCACCTAGATAACTGTGTTGAGACAGGAAGTCCAGTGATTCATGAACGTTGTTCTCCGCACACACTAACATGCATCAACCACTGCGGTTAGTCGCCTGTTACGACAAGCAGGGGTTGCCAAAGATGATTCTTAACCGGATCTTCACGAGGATCCCTCCATTGTGCACAAAAACACAAACTAAAGGTGAAAAACGTAGCTGATCACACTGCTGCAGGTATATGCTGCTTTAGTTCACCACGTGACACGTCCAGGGCCGGTAGGGCAGCCTAACTGTACAACACGGTCGAGATTACATATGGGTAAACCCCATTTCCGCAGTCCACGGTTATAAGTTTGAAATATTTTTTAAGCAGGCGGAGTAACAACATATTCACTCACTCACTCATCATTCATCCACAACACTCATTGCTATGTGCTACTGATACAGATGTTGTATTGCGATCGTAAGACTAACGCTTAGTCTCTGGACATATATAGTAGCAACAGAGACCATATATAGACCAATAAGAGAACACAATCTACTATATGGTCTCTGGTAACAAATAACATTTAAACTGAAAAGCACCCCAGTGAGATGGGAGATTCAGAACCGGAACCTGAGGAAATCTTGACTTGCTCTATTTAGGGCTTCATTTAGCCTTCGCATTGCAGGAAGGGCTTGGCGGTAGGGAATACTACTATAATGCGGTTCATGGAATGTGAGAGACTAGGGGAACATGTGAATATCTCAGTTGTAAGGAACTGTCTAGTCTTCAGCGCATGTCAAACGCAAAGGTCAAGATCGCTGTGGCTGTTCTTCCCGAAAGGTCACCTGGTTGAGCCGGTAACCGGACAAAATCCACCCCAAAATTGCCACCCCGGACAAAATCCACCTCTTCTTAACAGAAAAAAAGGACAAAATCATCCATTTTGTAGAAGTTAAAAGTTTTAGTGTGTCCTGATCTTTGATCAAGATGTTTTTATCAAGCTTTGCAGATGTTGTTTCAAACATTAAAGGTTTCTCCATTTCTCACATTTTGATCACTACTGAATCCCCTTTCATGTATCATTAAGTAGTCTCACACTTTGATCATTACACAGAGCACGCCTTGGCAGACAGTGGATATAGCTTGTATTCCACCCTGCAACAACGGAGGACATACAGAAAGTTAGAAGTGTTCCTGACACTGGTCGAAACTATACAGTCGTAATATGAACGTTTCTATCTATTGAAGTCAACTACATAGGCCGAGTGTAGTTAGTTTAGGCTAACTTGCTGTTCTACAAAACATGAACCACAGGCCGAGTGTGGTGTTCTACAAAACACGAACCATAGGCCGAGTGTGGTGTTCTACAAAACATGAACTATAGGCCTAGTGTGGTGTTCTACAAAACATGAACCATAGGCCGAGTGTGGTGTTCTACAAAACATGAACCATAGGCCGAGTGTGGTGTTCTACAAAACATGAACCATAGGCCGAGTGTGGTGTTCTACAAAACATTAACCATAGGCTGAGTGTGGTAGGGTGTTCTACAAAACATGAACCATAGGCCGAGTGTGGTGTTCTACAAAACATGAACCATAGGCCGAGTGTGGTGTTCTACAAAACATGAACCATAGGCCGAGTGTGGTGTTCTACAAAACATGAACCATAGGCCGAGTGTGGTGTTCTACAAAACGTGAACCATAGGCCGAGTGTGGTGTTCTACAAAACGTTAACCATAGGCCGAGTGTGGTGTTCTACAAAACATGAACCATAGGCCGAGTGTGGTGTTCTACAAAACGTTAACCATAGGCTGAGTGTGGTGTTCTACAAAACGTGAACTATAGGCCGAGTGTGGTGTTCTACAAAACGTGAACCATAGGCCGAGTGTGGTGTTCTACAAAACATGAACCATAGGCTGAGTGTGGTGTTCTACAAAACGTGAACCATAGGCCGAGTGTGGTGTTCTACAAAACGTGAACCATAGGCCGAGTGTGGTGTTCTACAAAACATGAACCATAGGCCGAGTGTGGTGTTCTACAAAACATGAACCATAGGCCGAGTGTGGTGTTCTACAAAACATGAACCATAGGCCGAGTGTGGTGTTCTACAAAACATGAACCATAGGCCGAGTGTGGTGTTCTACAAAACGTTAACCATAGGCCGAGTGTGTGGTGTTCTACAAAACGTGAACTATAGGCCGAGTGTGGTGTTCTACAAAACATGAACCATAGGCCGAGTGGTGGTGTTCTACAAAACATGAACCATAGGCCGAGTGTGGTGTTCTACAAAACGTTAACCATAGGCCGAGTGTGGTGTTCTACAAAACGTGAACTATAGGCCGAGTGTGGTGTTCTACAAAACGTGAACCATAGGCCGAGTGTGGTGTTCTACAAAACATGAACCATAGGCTGAGTGTGGTGTTCTACAAAACGTGAACCATAGGCCGAGTGTGGTGTTCTACAAAACGTTAACCATAGGCTGAGTGTGGTAGGGTGTTCTACAAAACATGAACCATAGGCCGAGTGTGGTGTTCTACAAAACGTGAACCAT